TACAGAGAAGAGCAACCAGGATGATTAGGGGATTGGAGGCTAAAACATACAATGAACGGCTACAGGAACTGGGCTTGGTTAGTCTAGTGAAGAGAAGAACTAGGGCAGGCATGACAGCAGTGTTACAATATTTGAGGGGCTGCCACAGAGAGGAAGGGGTTAAGCTATTTTCTAAAGCACCTGTAGGCCAGACAAGGAATAATGGATGGAAACCGAACAAGGAGAGATTTAACCTGGAAACAAGGAGAAACTTTCTGACAGTGAGAACAATCAACCAATGGAACAGATTGCCCTCGGAAGTTGTGGCAGCACCATCAGTTGAGACTTTCAAGAAGAGATTGGACTGCCATTTGTCAGAAATGGTGTAGGATCTCCCACTTGGGTGGGGGGTTGGACTAGATGACCTACAAGGTCCCTTCCAACTCTGATTATCTGTTAAATCTGTTGGAGATGTCTCCTATTACAGTGAATGACAAAGACTCTAAGGCAGGGCTGTCAAACTCCCAGCCTGCGGACCAGGTGCATCATGCGCTGGCCGTGCCCATGCCCGGTTTAGTGAAGGGAGGAAAAGTCCTGATACGTCACGTGATGCCACTGTGATGACGTGAATTTGACACCCCTCCTCTAAGGAAACCTTTCTTAACTTGGGTCTCTCCAAACATGTGGGACAACAAATGTGGTGTTGCTATCCAGTCTTCTCTTGAATAAATTAAAAAAATTAAACCTACCTAGTGATGCAGTACTTATTACTGGAGATTTTTAATTGGACAATTTGTCTGAAATAGTATTGGGTCTCCTGCTTGAGGGAGGGGTTGGACTAAGAGACCTCCAAACTCTCTGCTATTATTCTGTTTTTTTTATTCTGCTGGTGAAATGCATCAAAACTTGCCTTATACTCTTTATGGAGCCCTTATTTAATCCCGTTTATAAAGGCCTCCAATTTACTTTATTATTTTTCCACCCTGAATTTTCCCAATCATGCAAGTTTGATATGTTTCTCTTTTGAAACAGAACTGGGAGTATACAGTAGGTGGGGAAACCTCACAGATCTTGTATAATATGTTACTCTTCAAGTAGCATTCATGGTATTCCAATCATGACTGGGAATTTGGAGAAATACAGTCTTAATCTGTACTATTGTAGGTCAGGGCTATATCATACTGGCTCTCTATATGCTTCCTAATTAGCCTATTTCCATGAATTGTAAACAGTCAGCCACTAATTATGACATCCTTCTATCAACAGATTATATGATCTGGAGATTGCAGAGGAGGTTGAGGGAAACAGTGTTTATACATACTTTTAAGGGTTGTGTGTTTTGCTTTTTGTTTTGGTGCTGTAGCTTATAAGCAAAAGTTGAGAAGGCCAAGTAGCCTGAGGGAGGAACTTAATAAATCATAAATTGGTCCTGAATCCAGAAGAGAGTCTGTAGCCTCTGACAGCCAATGTTGTTGTCACAGAGGAGACAAAGAATTCCAGACTAGCTATTTTTGCCAATGCATATATTTTGTGGATTTTTTTTAACAAAGTTTGATTAGCAGCTGATAGAGGATGATTTGTTAGAATGTTTACAGAACAGTCATGAAAGCAAAAGTAATGTAGTCCACTGAGATTTTGAGGCTTACATATATTGTGCAGTGGTTTCTGTTGAGAACTGTTATGTCCTTCCATGCAGTCTACCTTCCAGCTGAAAACAGAAGTGAATCTGGCCATGAAAATCTGCCTTCTATTAGAACAAACTAGCCCACTTTGTCCTTCCAGATTGGCCAGGGCTCTTCAGAGCCTGAAGCACAGTTTTTCTCATTGCTTTAAAGAAATGGAGATGTTAGGGATTAAACCTGTAAAACCAATGTTCTCCCCAAAAGCAATGGGATTCTCATATATGGTTTATGTCTCCTTTTCTCCCATCATTTACAAACCTGTAGCAACTTGTAACAGGTTGCATGCACAAGGCCGAAGACTTTCCCCCCAAAGTCTTAAGTAGATAGTATTAGGAAGAATCTTTTTGAAAGAACTGGTGTTGCTGTTTAAATACAGTGCCAGGCAAGAGGGTCAAATTCTCTAACAAGAATTCTCTAACAAGATAACTTCCTTATATTCATATGATATGAAGAAAGAAAGAAAGAAAGAAAGAAAGAAAGAAAGAAAGAAAGAAAGAAAGAAAGAAAGAAA